GTAAGACCAGATATTGAGGGACTCTCACCCAAAGATGCCTGAGTAAGAAAAATCTTAAAAGAAGGCTGAGAAGGAATAGTCAAAGGTGTAGGAGGAAATCTGTGGGCTGATATGTTCATAAATAGTGTGAAAAGGTAATATTTCAAGGAGAGAGCTATTAAAGAGTAAAGTGCTATGAGGTCAAATCATTTTGACTTGGTCTTAAAACACAATCACAATCTGGTGAATGAGTCAAGACATTTGCAACTGATTGCAAAACTGATTTTGCAATCAGTTGCAAAATCTAGCATCACAGATCACAAACCAGGAAACCTGTGATGTCCACAGGCTGACTCACTGATAGGTCAATGTCTAAAATGTGTGCCTCACTACAAAAGGGATGTGTACTTAAAGTAAGCTATCACATTTAAACAACTGAAATGTAAGCTCATGAATTCATACATTCAAAAGACAAGTTCCATATGCACATGATTAAAAGAAAATTTTTGGAAACAAGATGGTAGGTTTGCAGTGAGGAGTTGTCAAGGAATGGAAATTGGTATGCCTAGAAGCAAATTTTAAAAGCAGTTTCTCTTGAGAACATCTATTTTCATACTACTTGATAAACATCTTGAAAGACTGTGGCTGCAGCTGCAGTAAAATTGGTGATATTAAAAAGATCTTGAAACATTTATTTCCAATCCAAAAGATGATTTCTCACCATGTTGCCCTGGCTGGTCTTGAACTCCTGGGCTCAAGCAATCCTCCCTCAGCCTCCCACAGTGCTGGAATTACAGGAGTGAGCCACCACACCCTGCCAATTGTCATCTTTTTAGAAACAAGGTCTCACTCTATTGCACAAGCTAGAGTGCAGTGGCATGGTCATAGTTCACTGAAGCCTCAGCCTCCTAGGCTCAAGTGATCCACTAGCTTCAGCCTCCCAAGTAGCTGGGATTACAGGTACATACCACTTTGCCCAGCCAATTTTCAAAAATTTTTTGTAGAGATGGTGTCTCTCCCAGGCCTCACCCTGAATGGTCTCAAACTGCTGGCCTTGAGCCTATTTCTGCCTTGGTCTCCCAAAGTGTTTGAATTACAGGTATGAGCAATCATGCTTGGTCTTTAAAAACTTTTTTTAATATTAACCTAATCCATGCATAATTAGAAAGATTCCCAGTGATGTCAAACAAGAAAATAAAATATGTGCAAATGATTTAAAAAAAAAAAAAAGAAAAAGAAAAATTTTCAGTAATGATACTTTGAGCCAGAAGGGGAAGATGCTATCTGATTTAAATTTAAATATAAATATTTTAGAAAATATATATATTTTTTTTTAGAAAAAATAAATAAAATGTATTTTTAGAAAAAAATAAAATATATTTTTAGAAAAAAATAAAATATATTTTTAGAAGAAAAAAATATATATTTAGAAAAGATATATTTTATTTTTTCTAAAAATATGTTTTTAGAAAAAAACTAATGAAATACATTTTTAGAGAAAAAATGAAACACATTTTTAGAAAAAAAATGAAACCCATTTTTAAAAAAATATAAAACAGATTTTTAGAAAAAAATATAAAACAGATTTTTAAAAAAATATAAAACAGATTTTTAGAAAAAATAAAACAGATTTTTAGAAAAAATATAAAACAGATTTTTAGAAAAAATATAAAACATTTTTAGAAAAAAATATAAAACATACTTTTAGAAAAAATATAAAACATATTTTTAGAATAAAACATATTTTTGAAAAAACATATTTTTAGAAAAAATATAAAATATATTTTTAGGAAAAAAATAAAATATACTTTTAGGAAAAAAATTAAATATATTTTTAGAAAAAAAATTAAATATATTTTTAGGAAAAAAATAAAATATATTTTAAGAAAAAAATAAAATATATATTTAGGAAAAAAAATATATTTTTAGAAAAAAATAAAATATATTTTTAGGAAAAAAATAAAATATTTTTAGGAAAAAAAATAAAATATATTTTTAGAAAAAAATAAAATAAATTTTTAGGAAAAAATATAAAATATATTTTTAGGAAAAAATAAAATATATTTTTAGAAAAAATATAAATATTTTAGAGAAAAAATACACAATAGTATTTAATCCTGTCATATTTATCTTCAACGAATTTCTACCAATTGAGTTCTAAACACCTGAGTCACACACAAGAAAGGCGATTTTTTTGTGTGCTAAATATGTGACAAGAATGTTAGAAGTATGTTTTTATCTGGGAGAAAATTGATCACGCATGATATTCTCCTACGAAACTGAGCAGTGATTCATTCTCACCTCACAAGTGGTAAGTAAGTGTTCTATGGTGGTCTGCTGAATTTGGAGCATGGGAAGCATAAATGAGATTAAATATCCACTGGTTTGGAGGATTCAAGTGTAAACAAAGGGAGAATTCCTTTTCCTTCGAGCAATTAGGAAAATGTCCAATATAGTTGGAAAGTGATTTAAAAAGCTATGGTTCTAAATTAAATAGCCTGGGAGGAGGAAACTCTCCTCTTCTAAAACACTAAGAAATTCTGGATAAAATAAAACACATTTTCCAAACTCCGCAGAGAAGCAAAAATGAAAATAAAGGGAATTCTCAGGGGCCAAAACCAAGTAAACAGAAATAAACGGGAAGCAGAGGATAAACACGGTGAAGCCCGAGCTGCCCTGAGGGCATGTGCTGGACGTGGGAACTAGACCCTGAGCGGTAACAGCCACTCCTAGGACAAAAGACAAGGTTTTAGGCCAGCACAAGGTAGGGAGCTAGTTACAACAAATACCCCAACGAAAATCTTAGAACCTCCAAGGGCTACATTGTCAATAAAAAGGCGGACTAGCCTGGGTTTGGTGGCATACACCTGTAATCTCAGCTACTCAGGAAGCTGAGGGAGAACCACTTGAGTACAGGAGTTCGAGAGCAGCCTGGGCAAACTAATGAGATCCTGTCTCAAAAACAAACTCAAAACCAAACAAACAAACAACAAAAGGAGACTAAGAAAAGCCCTTCCAATAAAGAGAGAAAAGTAATTTGTGTGTTTCCATCCTTACTCTGCTAAGAATCTAACACCCCCTAAATTCATAAAGGTTTGAGATTCAAATTCATGTGCAATTTTCTTTTTTCATGTTTTATGTTTGTTTTTGTTTTTTAACATGGGGTCTCACTATGCTGCCCAGGCTGCAGTACAGTGGCATGATCATAGTTCACTGCAGCCTCAGCTTTCCTGGGCTCAGGTGTGCCTCCCACTGCAACCACCCGAATAGCTGGGACTACAGGCGTGCATGCCACCATGCCGGCTAATTTTTGTTTTTTTGTTTTTGTTTTGGTAGAGATGCAGCTTCACCATGTTGCCCAGGCTGCTCTCAAACTCCTGAGCTCAAGAAATCTGCCCACCTTGGCCTCCCAAAGTGCCAGGATTACAGGCATGAGCCACCACACCCAGCCTACATATACAATTTTCATGTTTCAGAAAACATCAACTAAAGATTGTTCCAGGTTGATGGTGCCACAGAACACCCTGCGGAAGCAAAGCCAAATTCTTAAACCAGAGTTCAGAGCAACCCAACACATATGTGGTCGTTTGATTTACACCCATGGTGCAGTTCAGTGGAGTAACTATGGTGACTTTCCTGGAGTTGAGTAATTGGAGAAAACATAAAGGAGGCTTCTGGCTGTTTGTAATGTTCTTTCTTGATCTTGGTGTTTCCTATACAGGAGTATTTGTTTGTAAAGATTTTTGAGTCAATTCTATATTTATTTGTCTGTATCTATCTTATAGGTCAACAAAAATTATTTAAATTAAAAAATTCAAGCCAAAAGTACAAAAAAGGAAATATCAACTTTTAACGTGTGCTTACAAGAAAAACACAATGACCACATGCAAATTTGGAAGAAACAAGCACTGACCTGAAGACACTTGAAGTATTTGCAAACTTAGAAGCAGAAAATGAAATGAATATGTTCAAACTTAATAGCAGAGGGAATAAAATCATAATCAAAGGTCAAAATATTATTGGTTTCAAACCTAGGTTGATTGAAAGAGATCCAAATAAATCCCACAGAAATGAAAAATCCATAATCATTAAAATGTTTTTAAAAATATTTATTTCCATTACAGGAATAAATTGGTGGGCTGGAAGGCAGGTCTGAAGAAATCAGTCAAAATGCAACAACTAGGAAGACAGATGAAACAAATTTTAAAAGGTTAAGACACATGGAAAACAGAATAAGAAATTTTAACAGATGATGAATTGAAATTCCAAAAGAAAAGCATGTATCTATGCATGTGTGTATGTGTGTGTGTGTGTGTTCATGTGTGCACACACACATGTACATAGAGAGAGAAAGAGGCAGAGATGCAGAGAGAGAGAAAGAATGGTTAATTCTAAAGAATTATAAAAGATGTGAATCTATAAATAGAAAGTACAATAAATACCATACAAGAAAACCACAGATTCATACTTAGCAGTTATGTAGTGAATCTGGGACAATTAAAGTGACTATCTAATTCTCTTTCTTATTTTATAATGATTGTGATTATTGGTAATAAAATGCGTGAGCCAAAGATTTTCTCTTTTGTTTCTTCCAACACCATTCCAGAGTATGAGACATAATCCCGTTGAATTAATTTTATAGCTACAAGTCTTCAAATGGTTTTAGAGCCGCTTTGAAATTTTACATGCTTGAAGACCTATATAAAATTTGCCTTAGTCTATGACCTCTCCTCAAATAGGTTTCCATATTTCACTTTCCAAAACAATAACTGAGAGCTATGGAAACTGTAGACAAATGTCCTTCTAAAGCTGAAACAGCAAGTGCTAGTCTTTGCAAATAAAAAATTATCTTCAAAGAAACTGCTCAGATATTTGTGTTTTAGATGTCAGAAGTATCTCTTCATAATAATTTTTTATGAAGTCAGATTTCTGGATTAATGTTGATTTGTCATTATACATAATGTGTCTGTATATAATACATTCCTTTGATGATTCGTCAAAATTTTATTATTTTTCTCCAGCAAAAATAGATCCTCCAGTTATGAATATAACTCAAGTCAATGGATCGTTGTTGGTAATTCTCCATGCTCCAAATTTACCATATAGATACCAAAAGGAAAAAAATGTATCTATAGAAGATTACTATGAATTAGTATACCGAGTTTTTATAATTAACAATTCACTAGAAAAGGTAAGTTCAGATAAATAGATTTATTTAGTGTTTTTTTCTTGTTTCTTTAACCAATATTTTGGTCATAGTAGATGTCTTCTTCTGCTACTCTGCCTCCTCTTATTTTTTCTTATCTTTAATTCCTTCTTGCTCTCAACCAGCATGAATCCATGTTTGTGCTGGCATCAGCATCAGAATGTGTGAGTGCCCTTTTGGTCCTTTGGTTTGTCTCCACAGTCTTCCCTGCACATCTAAAGACTGGTATTAACAGTATTGAATTCCATGTGACTGCCACAAATATTTATTTGTATGGACTTTGCATACCTTATTTTGTTTCTTTATTTTTAGAGTGGGTTTCACTCTGTCACCCAGGCTGGAGTACAGTGATAATTATAGCTCACTGTAGCCTCTAACTTCTGGGCTCAAGTGATCCTCCTGCTTCAGCCTCCTGAGTAGTTGGGACTACAGACTTGCACCATCACATCCAGCTTTTTTCTTTTTGGAGATGCAAGGTCTCACCATGTTGCCCAGACTGGTGTCAAACTCCTGCCTTCAATCAATACCCCTGCCTCAGCAGGGTAATTGATCTGTAATCCCAGTACCCCTCCCAAAGTACTGGGATAGCAGGCATGAACCACCATGCCCAGCCTCACACCTTACTTTCTGAATCACATGATTATATATTTATGTGTTTTGCTGTGATTTTTGATATATTTTTTTTTGAGATAGGGTCTGGCTTTGTTACCCAGGCTGGAGTGCAGTGGTGCAATCACAGCTCACTGCAGCCTTGACATCCTGGGCTCAAATGATCCTCCCACCTCAGCTTTACAAGTAGCACACCAACTACAGGTGTGCGCCACCATCCCCAGCTATGTTTTTTGTACTTCTAGTAGAGGCAAGTTCTGGTCATGTTGCCAAGCTGATCTTGAACTCCTGGGCTCAACTGATCCACCTGCCTCGGCCCCTCAAACTGCTGGCATCACAAACATGAGCCACCATGCCTGGCCTTGCTGTGGTATTCTAATCCACCATCAGTGCTTCAGTCTAGATTTGGTGGATAATTGAATTTGTTCCTTTTTTGGCATCATCTAAGATGAGGGTTTTTTATTGTAAGGTGCAGAAACCCCAGTTCAACTTGTTTAGAAACAAAAGAGGAGGGGAGGGATTATTAGGAGATAGGCAAACAATCTCAGGGACAGAAGCAGGACATGGAGTGCCCGCAGGCTTAGCGGTGACTGAGAAGGGAAACGGAAGTAGTCCTAAGGGATCCTGTTCTGTCGCTCAGACTTTCTCTCTGCGGCCACAGTTGCATGCTTACAGTCAGCTCTGCTCATCTACACCATTCTCATTTCACGCTTCAAATTCTTAAAAAGATGGCCAGGCAGGGTGGCTCATGCCTGTAATCCCAGCACTTTGGGAGGCTGAGGCAGGCAGATCATTTGAGGTCAGGAGTTCAAGACTTGCCTGGCCAACATGCTGAAACCCCATCTCTACTGCAGATACAAAGATTAGCCAGGCATGGTAGTGCACATCTGCAATCCCGGCTACTCGGGAGGCTGAGGCATGAGAATCCCTTGTACCGGAGAGGCGGAGGTTGTAGTCAGCCGAAATAGTGCCACTGCACTCCAGGCTGGGTGACAGACTGAAGCTGTGTCTCAAAAAAACAAACAAAATTCTTAAAAAGAAGACTCTAACCACAGGGTCAACCAGTTCCCAGCCCTCAAAGAGAAGTCGAGTTCACCTACACAGCCACTTGCCCTGTCCCTTTACCAAGCTATGGCCTAGGACTCTAGGGAAGAAGGGTGTGTCTAGGAAGAAATCCCACAACCCAGCCACAACTGTGACCATGTACAACTTGGTAATTTAAACAAAAATACAGCTCTGATTTAATGGCAACCACTTGCCATCTGAATTTTTTCTCTCTTGTGTGCAGGAGAAAAAGGTTTACGAAGGGACTCACAGAGTTGTTGAAATTGAAGCTCTAACACCACACTCCAGCTACTGTGTAGTGGCTGAAATATATCAGCCCATGTTAGACAGAAGTCAGAGAAGTGAAGAGAGATGTGTGGAAACTCCGTGACTTGTGGGCACTGAACAATGTGGAAATGCTCAAGTTCCCTGAGAATGGGATGACTCATGTTTGAAGGATCTTATTTAAAGTTGTTTTTGTATTTTCTTAAAGCAATATTCACTGTTAACACCTTGGGGGCTTCTTTGTTTATCCATTCTTTCATCCTTTATATTTCATTTATAAACTATATTTGAGCAACGTTCTCTCCAAAAATCAAAATTTTAAAGATGAGGCAGAGAATAAAGGGTTCTATGAAATCCAGAACTTTATTTCTGAATGTAACATCCCAAATAACAACTTTCATTCTTCTAAGGCAGCAAAATAAAAATTTAACAACCAAGGAATAGTATTTAAGAAAATGTTGAAATAATTTTTTGAAAATAGCATTACAGACTGAGGCAGTCCTGAAGCAATCATTTTTCACTCTCTTGTTGAGCCAGTTAAATTGGCATTGTTACACCAATTTAAAATTTCTATGTGGCTGGGCACAGTGGCCGGGCGGGTGGATCACCAGGTCAAGAGATCGAGACCATCCTGGTCAACATGGTGAAACCCCATCTCTACTAAAAATACAAAAAATTAGCTGGGCATGGTGGCGCGTGCCTGTAATCCCAGCTACTCAGGAGGCTGAGGCAGGAGAATTGCCTGAACCCAGGAGGCGGAGGTTGCAGTGAGCCAAGATCGCGCCATTGCACTCCAGCCTGGGTAACGAGTGAAACTCAGTCTCAAAAAAAAAAAAAAAAAATTCTATGTGAATGAATATTTTTCATATATTTCTATTTTCTATGAATATACTTTTTATATGTGTATTTATTATTATTAAATATTTCTACTTAATGAATCAAAATTTTGTTTCAAATTTCAGTTAAATAAAATAGGTTTTGGGCTAAAAAAACTCATGACTTCTGGATTGATAGCTGAATTAAGACTATCAACAATAAGGACGTCTACTCAACACAATTGTCCCTCATTTAAAATATACATTAAGATTTCCTTTTCTATTTTTGCTTTGTTTAGTTTTTAATCCTGTCTTAGAAGAATTTATCTTTATTCTCAAAATTAAATGTAATACTTTTTAGCGACAAAGAAAAGACACTCCATTACTCAACCCTTCTGGCCAAGACTATCTTGCTTGTGGCACCTTCTTCATCTCTACCTAGGAGGATCCCATGAATGGTGGTTTATTGGGAACTGCTGGAGTCAGAGCAGTGAACTCAGCTTGAAGCTGGAAGCACACAGGGGTAGCAGGAGAAGAACTGGTGTTGGTAGATGCCTACAGAGACTATAGAGCTAGACCAAGCCCTCCAAACTGGCCCCTCCTGCCCATCTGCCTCTCCTGAGTAGCAATCTGGTGGCCTAAGGCTCAGTGTGATCAACAGAAAGCTGCCTTCTTCACTTGAGACTTAGTCGTTATATATGTTTAAGGTTGTCTTTCTAGTGCAGAGACACATATCAGAGAACATTTATACAATTCCCCATGAAAATTGCTCCAAAGTGTGATAACAATATAGTTGGTGCTTCCAGTTATATACAAGTGCTCAGTGATGAATGGATTAAAACATATTCAGAAATGTATTATGGGGTAGGGAAGAATAAGAGGCAGAGGAGCAAGAGCTAGAGAACTGGTTTCCTTGCTTCCCTGTACGGTCAGAAAACATCCATTTGAGCATAGATGCAGAGACTGAAAAAAAAATTTATTTTGATCTCTGTTTTTGAATTCTTATTATTTATGTTTTACTTACTACCTTTTTTGCCTTTTGTGGGGAGGGTGATGAATCAAGAGCAGTGGGGTGGGTGGGGAGTAAGTAAAATTTCAAACAGCATTTTAGTGAATGCAATTCAGGAGTCCTGAAGGCTGACTTTAAAAAAAACAAACTTCATGTACAGTTTTTTAGTGAAAATGGTTAGGTAACATCAGGTTTTGTTCGTATGTTGTTTGCCTTGCGCTGGTTTTGCTTTTGTGCTTAGGCAGGAACAAAATAACTCTGTGAAAATCATAACTGTCATCTTCATTGTGTTGGGGATATATTTTCACACTATTTCAATAAATCCTTTAATTTTTTGCTTTGCACTTTGGAATGTTTGTTATTTGAGCTTTTAAAAGAAGGATACAATGTTTAAGTCCACGGGATGAAATTCCAAGTAAACATCTCAGGCCCATGTGAAGTTCCAATCAGGAAGAAGCAGTGTTGAGCAGGAATGAGCTTGCCCTGTGATAGAATGCAATCCCAGTCTCACAGCTGCTCAGGCCAAAAGCTTTGAGGTCATCTTTGTCTCCCTCCTTTCGTTCACGTCATATATATTCAATGCATCAATACATCCTATTGATCTACCACCTCCAAAACACAACACTTCTCAGAACTACCTTTTCCAGGCCACCATCATTTCTCCCCTGGATGGTCACTGTGGCCGCCTCACTGGTGTGTCCTCACTCTATGTGCCTCCCTCCAGTCTAGGCTTAACAGGGTGGCCAGCGTGAGCCTTGGAATGTAAATGAGATCATGTCACTTTTCTGCTCTAAAACCTCCAATGGCTTCCCATCTCATAGGAGTAAGAGAAAACAAAATCTTTATAATGGCCTCCAAGGCCCTGTATGATCTGTTTCCTTTCCTCATAATCTCCCAGACCTCACTCCCTAATTCTCACCTTGCTCACTCTGCTCCAGCACACAGAGCTCTTGCTTGCCCTCAGATACAAACGCCCTAGGCTTCCGGGCCTTTGCACCTGCTGTTTGCTGGAAGGCTGTACCCCCATGTTTCCATAGATTCACTTCCTCACCTCTGTCAGATCTTTCCTGGAAGATTGCCTTATCAGTGAGACTACCTTCACTATTCAATTTAAAATTGCAACCTACTCGCTGCAATGATCTATACCCCTCAGTTTCCTTCCCAGAACTTAAATCACCTGACATGCTGTAGTTCACTTGTTGACCTTGTTTATTATCTTCCTCCTCTTCTACTAGAATGTAAAGGCAGGTTTCTGGTTCTTTTCCCACAGCCATATCTGCATTATCTATAACAGAACTTGGTATCTAGTAGACAATTAGTATTTGTTGGATAAATTAATGAAGAGTAGAAGCACTGAGTGCATGAGAGGGGTGGGTCAGGAGACCCAGAGGGAGGCTTTTCTTGTAATTTCTTACAACTTGCTGCCTCATCTTCCTCCATGGGTAAGTGTGAGAAAGAGGCATTTTTTACTGGGATGCAGAAACGAAGACATGCAGAGACCAGATTTTGTGCAATCTTGGTGCCACAGCAGAGGACTATTCTAGAATCATCATTCTTCCTCCAACAGAGTATGACTTCTGAGGTATTGTTTCTTCTCCCTGGCTGGTGGTCAAGTCCAAAAGTCCTGTCCCAGATTTTCTTCAAAAGGAGAGAGGGAGTAAAATTGGGTCTGGAAAAAAGACATATCCATATTGACAAAAAAGAACTTTAGAGTCTCCTCTAAAAAGGTTGAGGCAAGTAAATAAAACCATGAAAAACCAGGATGCCTTATGTGATGGTTCATATTGGGTGTCAACCTGACTGGATTGAAGGATGCAAAGTATTATTCCTGGATGTGTCTGTGAGGGTGTTGCCAAAAGAGATTAACATTTAAGTCAGACTAGGCGAGGCAGACCCACCCTCAATCTGGGTGGGCATCGTCTAAGCAGCTGTCAGTGCAGCTAGAGTAAAGCACGCAGGGGAAGGTGGAAAGAACCGACTTGCTGATTAGGGTAGTGGTTAGTATTGCTTTTGAGTGTGTTGGTTTTGGAAGCATTTTAGCTTGAGTCAAAGGAACAAACAGTGTACCAGTAACATTCTTTCTTCACGAGGTTTTTTTTTTCTTTTGAAACAAAAACAAAATTCTCATTCCTTAAGAATTAGCAAAACATAAGCCCTCATGACCACTGCCTCACAAGTCAGAGAAAAAGTTAGAGGGGAGCTATGGTGAGACTAGTTTAAGTGGCAACGAAGTTACTTACATACATTCAGAAATTTACACAGGAGGGCTTTGTGCATGGAGGCAGGTGGGCCAGGCACATCCTGGCAGTGCAACAAGCCCTGGAAATCCGGGCACATCTTGTCTTTCTACTCTGACATTCTCCAGCATGTAGGGGCTTTTGTCCTTATTCTTTCTGCCTCGGGGTTAAAAGATGCTTTCTAAAAATGGGTATTAATAATGGCCAATCAGTATTTTGTGTATTTAAAATGGAGAACTCTATAAATATTTATTGAGTTTACTTGTTCCAGGTCTGAGTTGAAGTCCTGGATATCCTTATTAATTTTCTGTCTCGTTGAGTCTAAATCTCGTTATGGGTCTTATGTATCTGGGTATTAAGATCTCTTATTGTTGCATTGATCCTTTTACCACTGTATCTTTGTTGCTTTGAAATCTATTTTATCAAATGTGAGAATTGCAACTCCTGCTTTTTGTTTATTTATTTTTGCTCTCCATTTGGTTGGTAAAGTTTTCTCCAACCCTTTGTTATGAGTCTTTGTGTATCTTTGGATATACCATTAGGTTTTGGCTGTATCTTTTGATTGGGGGATTTAGTCGATTTAAATTTAGGGTTACTGCCATTTGATGTTAACTGGCTATTTTATCTATTTCGTCAAACCTTTTTTCAAAGTTCTTAGTTTCTTTACATTGGGTTAGAACAAGTTCTTTTAATTCCCAGAAGTTTCTTATCATCCACCTTCTGAAGCCTACTTCAGATAATGGAACACAGTCCTTTTCCATCAGGGCTTGTTCTGTTGCTGATGAGGAACTGCAATCACCTGTAGAGGGAGAGGGGTTCTGAATTTGGGTATGCTCGGCCTTCTTAGGCTGGTTTTTTCCCTTTATTATAAATTTATCCATCTGTCGTCTTTACAATTACCGCCTTTCTAATTAGGTTTCTGAGTCGACATCCAATTTATTGATTCCCAGTGCTGGGATTCAAGCAACCCACTGCGCCGGCCAAAACAGCAGCGATAAGACTGATGGTGCTCTTCTGCCCGGGAATCTCTGGTCTGGCTTCCTTCTTGAGTCCGCAACAAGCGCTCTGCCTTCCCGGAGCTCCAAACACAGGTCAGTAGGGGAACCAGTCCCGATTACTCTGCATGAAGAGCTGCCGCGCCAAGGCGCCAGTAAAACTGCTGCGCCGGCCACAAGTGTCGCACTGGCGACCCATGGGGCTCCTCCACTAGAAATCTGCTGGTCGGTGAGCAACGAAAATTCGTCTGAAAGTGTGGCGTCCTCTCGTTCTCTGAGCTTTCACTGGGAGCTACAATCCCGAGCTGTTAGTGATCAGCCATCTTGGATCTCTCTCCTTTTTTTTTTTTAAGGTAGTTTTAATGTAATATAATTTGGGTTTCTGCAGGAACTAAATAAAATTTCATATTTACATACTTCTAAGTATTTAAATTGGAATGGCTTTTCAAATCAGAGGAAGTTCTTTTATACTCCAGGTGTCTGAAAGTTTTCCACAGAAAATGTAATAAACATGGTTCATATGTGGAACCCACCGTTTATATTTTCCAACCAATTCTATATGTATTTCCACTGTTTTTCCCTCTTTATGATTTCTTATGTACATAAGGAATCAATACATATGTTAATCAACTATTTTCTAGTATTCCTTATTGGAGGAAAATGGTTTAGATCAGTGCTTCTCAAACATGACAACACTTTTTAATCTCCTAGGAAGCTTTTCAAAAATGCAAATTCCAGAACTCTCTTCTCCCAAGTCAAATAAATCAGGATCTTTGGGTAAGACACATAGGCATTTTATGTTTTGAAATCTCCCCAGAAAACTCTGAAGTTTTCATTCTAAAAAACCCATTTTTAGAATGCAGCAATATTCCTGTTCTCTCTCCCTCTTTTTCTTCCTCTTTCTTCCTCTCCTTCTCTCCTTTTTTTACTTTTCAACATCCTAATTCCTCGCCTCTACTCAATACATTCCTCTGAACACCTAAAAGAATAAATAAATAAATACAAGATGCTTTCTGCACCTCACAAGATGCTTTCTGTCCACTCTTCTATTAGGAACTAGGGGGAAGAGGTGAGGGTGAAAGTTGTGGCAGTACCTACTTAAAAATCTTCTTGAAAGTTCTACCCAGGATAAATGGTGGAAATAGAGAACTGGATGGATTTAAGAAACATTTAGAAGGAAAAATTAATAGTACTTGGAAACAAATTAGATATGAAGGATGAGAGGGAGGTGCTAAGGATGATGTCAAGATTTCTGGTCTGGGTGCCTGGATAGGTGATGGTGCCATTCACTTGGGGGATTGGGTTTTGGGAGAAAATCATGAGTTTAGTTATGTTGAGCATGAGGTGCCTCCAAAACATCCAAAAGGAGATGTCTAGTAGACAATTAGATATATTATTCTACTTCTTCCTTGTGATAAGAGTTCTTTTATTAGAAGCAGTGTTGCGTGGTAAAGCATGGTGGTCAATAAGTCACTCAGTAAGTCCACAGGACCTGGCCCAGAGAGAAACACAATGAGCTAGGCTGGTGAACCCAAATCTGGATGTGTCTGTCCCACTGGGGACAGATCACTGCCACCTCCAAGATATGCTAACATCCAAGGTATTCACAGGCCACTTCCTGATGGGACACTCAGGCCTGCAGCAGCAAGGTCAGCCTCAGTGAGAGGAGGCCCAGTTTCCAAGCCATGTGGGACCCCTGTCCCTACTGCACTGACATTTGTTCTCGAGCACGTTGAGAAAACACCAGGGTATCTGTGAAAGAGACTGAGCAGGTCACAGGTCCACAGAGCAGGTCACCTTGTCCACTGATCCTAACATCCTGCAGTCTTATTTTTGCTGTAAGGTTGGATCCCGTCTTGCTATGCTCTTCCTGCCTCATGGCTCGATGGTCCAGAGAAGACCCATTCACGATGAGAAGTGCAGGCCACATGGTCACAGAGAACCCCGGGTCAGGCTTTCAGCCTCCCTCAGGGTGAATAATAAGCCAATAGACATTTTCCAGAATGAGTCTAGTTATTTGCTGAAGAGGGTAGATTTTAGTCTAGAACCCTGGAAGCCACGGCTGTGTGTCTGCTGGTCAGCGCTCGCCACCGACTTCCTGATTGGTCT